CCTAGAGTTCAAGCCCCACAACCAACAACAACAACCAAAAAAGGTGATCCTGACCCCAAGGAACTTGGGAGTAGCCAGGGTCAGGAGTAGCTTTTGTTCTGGAGAAACAATGTTGCAAAGCAGGGAAACTGAGACAGATATCTTGTCCCACAGAGCAGAGCAGAGGGGGATGGCAGTAGTGTAGTAGTGCTAAAGATCCCCAGGACTATTCTAAGGTAATCAGAGGATATCTGAGCAGAGTGAAGGGCATACTATTATATGAGAAATGGCAAGGAGTCAGAAAAGAAGCTGAATCAATAGAGTTCAAACTCCCTTAGCCCAGGGCTATTTCTGTTCATCCCAACTCCACAAGCCAAAGCTGCCATTACAGATCTGGGTCCCTCTCTCCTGTGATTTCAGGGCTGGAAGAGACCTTAAAGATCTTCTAGCCAGAAGTCAGGATGCTGCTGGAATTTAGTCTATTCTTAAGGTGCAATCTACACACTCCCCAAACCAATAAAAGCCTCAGAGCCTCCCTCCCCCCACCTCAAGGTTTGGTATGCAAGGACCCTCTTTTGCTTTCTCCTCTGAGAAGCAAACGTTCAAGAAAGCTCCTGGTTGCTTCTCTTTGTCTGGCTCAAGTCCCAGTTCCTAGTAAGAAGTCCATACCTGAGACAGTTCCACTTTTTCCTCCTCCGGAGCCAGTTTAAAGTCAGGAGGTGGCAGGATGCTGAGTAGCCCAGAGAGTCCCCCAGATTCCTCTGTGGTCAAGCCAGCTGTATTAAAATGAACTTTGTTCCCTGAGGATTTGTTCATGGAGGTGTTATTGTGTACTTGATCACAGTTCCCATGGCTACAGGCTCACAGGGAGAAGGGAATGGGTATGCATCAGCATCTTCCTGTGAAATAAGGATTTGACCTCATTTATAGTCAAACATACAGCAGGAAACCTTGCAAATGGCACGGCATGAATAGAATTTGGAGAGTGCTGAATGACTTAGGAGAAAAGAACATTAAATAAAATAGTCCACGTGGAAGGATGTGTTCTATCCCTGGCTCAACCTAGGTGCAGACTTGCTTCCATTGTTCCTAACAGTACTAACCTTTATCCAGAAAGGAGATCATCTAACTGAAAGGTGGCAAACTGGAAGTTTTTAGACCAAATCTAATCCACAGACCTGTTTTCTGCAGAGTGTTTACAACTTGTTTTGTGGGGGCTGGGAAGATGGCTCAGTGGTAGAATGCTTGTCTTGCATGCCTGAGGCCCTGGGTTCGATTCCTTAGCACCACATAAGCAAAAAGAAAAAAGCTGGAGGTGGTGCTGTGGCTCAAGTGGTAGAGTGCTAGCCTTGAGCTGAAGAGCTGAGGGACAGTGCCCAGGCCCAGAGTTCAGGCCCCACTACCAGACCCCCCCAAAAAAAAACAAACTTGTTTTGTGGAGGTCAGGCACTGTGGAGCATGCCTGTAATCCCAGATGCCATGCAGGAGGTATGACTAGGAGGATCATGGTCCAGGCTTACTCAAGGAAAGAAGTATAAGACCCTGTCAAAAAGACAACTAGAGCTAGAACACACACACACACACACAATGCATACATGCACATGCATACAATGCACACATGAACATGCATTCACACACACACACACACACACATGCACATACAAGCTTGTTTTGTGTGTCAACTTTTCTTTTTTTTTTTGCTGGCCCTGGGGCTTGAACTCAGGGTCTGGGCACTGTCCCTGAGCCTCTTTGTGCTCAAGGTTAGTACTCTACCACTTGAGCCATATTGCCACTTCCATTTTTTTTTTCTGAGTGATTTATTGGAGATAAGAGTCTTTCAGACTTTTCTGCCCAGGCTGACTTTGAACTGTGATCCTGAGGTCTCAGCCTCCTGAGCAGCTAGGATCACAGGCCAGCTTGTGTGTCAACTCTAAACTTCCATCTCTTTAGGTTGAGGATGTAGCTTAGTGGTAGAGACTTGATTAGGGAGGCTTTGTGTTCCATCCTCAGCACCCCCCAAAAAAATCAGTCTCACTGAAAAAAAGAAGAAGAAAATCATGCTTCTGATGTTAATGTTAATACCCTCTTGTCAGGGGCATCAATAATATACCTAAAATTGAACAGGGTTGGGTTTATGACTCACTACAAGGAGGGAGAATGCAATGGGAGGAATTGCAAGGCATCTGAGAAAGAGGATGTAGAAAATGACTTATTACAGAACTTCAGCTTGTGTTGGGTTTTTGAAGAGGACTAAGGGAAACTAGCTTTGTCCTGCTAAAGCATAGTCAGGATGCAGGGAGAGTCTGATGATTGGGAATTTGCATAATGTCTACCCAAAATGTGAGAGGGAAAGAGCAAGACTAGTTTAAATAATGTTCATGGCCAGGCACTGGTTGCTTTCACATATAATCCTAACTACTCAGGAGGCTGAGATCTGAGGAGTGAGGTTCAAAGCCAACCTGGGCAGGAAAGTCTATGAGACTCTGATCTCCAATGAACCACCAGAAAGCTGGAAGTGGTGCTGTGGCTCAAGTGGTAGAGCACTAGCCTTGAGCACTGAGTGGCTCAGGGACAGCACCCAGGCCCTGGGTTCAAGCCCTACAACTGAAAAAAAAAATAGTGTTCATGGTTTTGACTGAGTCCTAATGTGACTAAAACTGTCTTGTTTTTTTGTCTTATACATCATGGTCACAGACTGGTCTTGTCCCTGTCAGATTGGGTATTCTTTAAAACTGTTAGCCACGTGTCTGTGGCTTACCAATGCAAAATTAAGTACTTAAGGGTCTGAGATCTGGAGGATCACAGTTCAAAGCTAGTCTGGGCAGAAAAGTCTGCTAAACTCCATTTCCAAAATACCCAGAAAAAAAAAATCCAGGCTAGAGGTGTGTCTCATAGCCATAGAGCTCTAGCTGTGAGCAAGAGAGCCAAGCAAAGGCTGGGTGTGTGGCCTAGTGGTAGAGTGCTTGCTAGCATGCATGAAGCCCTGGGCTCAATCTCTCAGTACCACATACACAGTGTTACTGTGGCTCAAAAGCAAAAGCAGCTCAGGCCCTGAGTTCAAGCCCCAGGACTGGCAAAAAAAAAAGAAGAGAGTCAAGCAAAATACAGGGTCCGGAGTTCAGGCTTTTGTTCCATTAAAAAAAAAAAAAAGAGCCAGGCGCCAGAAGCTCACTCCTGTAATCCTAGCTACTACTCAGGAGGCTGAGATCTGAGGATCGTGGTTCAGAGCCAGCCTGGGCAGGAAATCCCGTTGAAACTCTTATCTCCAATAAACCACCAGAAGACCAGAAAAGTGGCACTGTAGCTCAAGTGGTAGAGCGCTAGCCTTGAGCTGAAGAGCTGAGGGACAGTGCTCAGGCCCAGAGTTCAAGCCCCACAACTAAAAAAAAAATAAACAGAAAACAAAATCAAACAACAAAAAATTTATTCATAATCAAAAGAATACAGTGGCCTAGCTGTATTATTCTAGGTCCTGTCAACATCACAGCCTAATGGTTGTACCAGGCAAGCCCCATACTGTCAAGGTCTTCCTGTCTCTTGAGCACAAGCAAGGGATAGCAACCAAGCCTGGAGTTCAAGCTCCATGAACAACAAAACAAAAACAAAACTGGAAAAAACTGAATTGTGCTAAAGGTTCTTCTACCAGCTTTTTATTTTTCCTACTGGCTTTAAAAATTTCATTTTATTTTTTGCCAGTCCTGGGGCTTGAACTCAGGGTCTGGACAATGTCCCTGAGCTTCTTTTACTTAAGGATAGCACTCTATGACTTGAGCCACAGTGCCACTTCTGACTTTTTCTGTATATGTGGTACTGAGGAATGGAACCCAGAGCTTAATGCGAGGCAAGCACTCTATCACTAAGCCAAAATCCCAGCCTCCCTACTTGCTTTTTGATGTAGATTTAATTGTAGATAAGAGTCTCTCAGACTTTGTTGTTTGGGTTTGGCTTTGGACTGTAATCCTCATATCTCAGCCTCTTGAATAGATAGGATTACAAGTGAGAGTCACCAACACTTGGTTAAAAGTTCTTCTTTGTCTTGGAATAAAGACTTTTTCTCACCTTGTAGCTAAAATAACAAAAAAGTATTACAGTGCCCAAAAAGGACAAACATTTGAACAGCTTTTAATTTCTGTTTCACAATTCTATTTAACTGCACTAGATTTCTGTGGAGTGTGGGCATCAGTGTGTGTGTGTGTGTGTGTGTGTGTGTGTGTGTGTGGTGTGTGCAGGTCCTGGGGCTTGAACTCAGGGCCTGGGCGCTATCCCTGAGTTTACTTACCCAAGGCTAGCACTCTACAACTTTAGCTACAGCTGTACTTCTGGCTTTTTTGGTAGATTGGAGTCTCATAGACTTTTGGAGATTGGAGTCTCATAGACTTTCCTGTCCAGGCTGGTTTCAAACAGCGATCCTCAGATCTCAGCCCCTAAGTAACTAAGATTACAGATGTGAACCACCAGTACTCAGCATGGAGTGTGTACATTCAAATGCACATTTTTGTAGTTAATCTGTGTGTGTGTGTGTGTTGGTACTGAGGCTTAAACTGAGGGCCTGGGCACTGTCACCTCACACAGCTCCACTATCACCTCCTCTGGAGACCCACCCCGATTTGGTCTCCTTTAAGAGCTTCCGTTGGTGCTCAGTGTGCACCTGTTCGGGTGCACGGGTGCTGATCAGTGCAAGGGGCTGGGAGGTGGGAACCTTGCCCCATGCCCTGCCCTGTTAGGATTCACCTTCCCTTCCCACCAGTAAAGGAACAGTTGGCCAGCAGAGACCCAGCCACGGGGAGTGGGGAGGACTTCGCTTTCCACATTCACACCTGGGAGGGGGCCGAGAGCCTCCTCCATCTGCCTGGCGCCCCCTTCTTGCCAAGCCCTACTCAGCCTAAACGCTAACCCTCCACGGCGTCCACAGTCGCGCATGCTCCGCAGCAACCGCCTCCCGCCTCCCAGATCCAGGGGCGTGTCCAATGGGGGCGTGGCCTCAGTGCGCCTGCGCAACTGCCCAGCACCGGCTTCCGGGTGGTGAGGGCGCGATGGGGCTGAGGGCCGGAGTGGCGGAGTAGCGGCTGCGAGTGGGCGTGTTCGCTGCGAGGTCTGGCCCCGGGGCTGGAGGCCCGGGGACTTCGGGGAGCAGGTCAGAGGGCGCTGGGAGAGTCACTCACCGCTCGTCGCCCCCAGCCGGTATGTCGGCCGAGGCCTCCGGCCCGGCGGCAACCGCGGCCCCATCCCTGGAAGACCCTCAGCCCTCGGGGCCGGAGCCCGGCTCCGCCGCCTTCGGCCTGAAGCCCCTGACTCCGAATGGGAAGTACGTGAAGCTGAACGTGGGGGGCTCACTGCACTACACCACGCTGCGGACCCTCACGGGACAGGACACCATGCTCAAGGCCATGTTCAGCGGCCGCGTGGAGGTGCTCACGGACGCCGGAGGTACGCGCGCCCGCCTCACAGTGTCCCCCCCC